TGCGCTATAGAGTTGAGAGTGGGCAGATGTCTACCTAGAGCCTCCGTCCAACATAACTCTTTTCACATAGTACCCTTCGCATTTGACTGTCAGGTGCAGGGCTTTGTTATGCGCGACCCCTTCTGGGGGCAAGTCATTTTTGCTGAAGGAAATCTGGTTAATTGCGAAAAACCTTTCTGCCATCCTCTCCAACTGTTCTACAGAAGTCTCAACAGGCATATATGCTTCGTTAAGGGTCTTAATCAATACCTTCTGATGTGCAGTTGAGTTCATCAGCAAAGACAACAAAGAGACTTGTTCGGGAAATTTTCGAAGCTGGTCGATCACCTCATAATCCGCCATTTTCATCTTTTGAAAGAAGGTCTCTGCTTTTTCGGCACTCACGAGCTTCTTAGATGGGGGGCATTTTCTAGTGGCATTGTTCAGCTCTTCCAAATTAGAATACTTTTCAACGGGGTTATTTTCTTGAACTTCTCCTGAGATTTCTTTGCCTTTATAGGTCACCACCGTTTTGTTGTAGTTCCAGGGCATAGCGGTAGGATATGTCATGGGCTTCTGTGGCACGCGTCCAATAACCACGGGCTCACTCAGCCTTGGTGGATTAATTGGCCCCCGCAGCACATAATTTCCCTTGGGCACATACATTTGGGCTGCCTTGTTCAGCTCGAATCTCCTAGGAGGACTCAAAGTCATCTGTTTTCTTTGTGGCCCCGAGAGACATAGAGAAAACATCTTTTGGAGGCGTTGCCCCAATCCCCGCTTCAACTTTTTTCTCTGATTTTGGAGGGGTGGTTTTGTTTTTTTTCTCCCCTTTGTATTACTTCGGGGCAACTTTTGGTTTCTTTTCTATGTCAGCAATGGAAATGATGGCCTTCAATACCGGGTCAAATTCCTTATCTTTACAAATCATTCTAATTACCGGCCCGTTGTTGTGGGCTGGCAGTGGGTTATTAGTCACATTGGGGACATCCTCATCCCTTAGCACTATCTTCCTTTGTTCTATCAAATTCTCCACTACTCTCTTCAGAGTCCAGCAATCATCAGTGTCGTGCCCTTCTGCCCCTGAGTGATAGGCGCATCGGGCACCAGCTCTGTAAGAGGGAGATGTTGGGTTTTGCCTAATTTGAGGAACCGGCTGTAGCAGTCCCATTTGGACAAGCTTTGGGAACAAGATGGAGTAGGATTTGCCGATTGGTGTAAAATTTGGCCTTCTAGGTGGTTCACGAGGGGGAAAATTGTTTTATGGAGGACGGGGATTGTAGTGGTTTTGGTAAGGAGGCTGGTTTCTAGGAAATGGAGCTTGGTTACGGTTGGCTTGTTGCTGTGGAGGGACATAAGGTTGAGCATTCATGCCCGTGTATGGATGAGGAGAATAGGCCATGTCTTGGTGGGGGTAATATTGTTGTGGGGTCCTTTCTAGGAGAAGGGATCTGGGAGTACGGTGTTTTCGTGCACCCGACACTGCCATGGATGTTTCTTCATTTTTCTTGCCTTTCGCTATTCCTTCGGACCCACCCTGAATGGCTTGGGAAGTAGCTATGATAGCGGATTGGCTTAGAATTCGACCCGTTTTCAACCATTTCGCCAATCTTAATGGCTTCAGCGAATGGTTTACCCATAGCAGACATCATATTTTGGAAGTTGTCGGCTTCCTGAGCTTGGAGGAAAACTGTGACCATTTCTACCTCATCCATCGGAGGTTTTACCCTAGATGCCTGCTCTCGCCATTTAACTACGTACTCCCGAAATCTTTCCGAGGATTTCTTTTTCAAGTTCGTCAACGAGTTCCTATCTGGAGCAATATCAATGTTGTACTGGAACTACCTGACGAAGTCTCTAGCAAGATCATCCCAGATATGCCAGCAGGATATATCCTGGTCCATATACCACTCAGAAGCGATGCCAACCAGACTTTCTCTGAAATAGGCCCTGAGTAGTTCTTCCTTTACACCGGCCCCTCGCAATTGATTGCAATATTTCTTGAGATGAGCAATAGGATCACCGTTCCCATCGTATTTCTCAAATTTTGGGGTTTTGAATCCCAATGGTAGGTGCACATGGGGGAACATGCACAAGTCGACATAAGATACACTTTTCTGTCCACTCAGGCCTTGTATGCTTTTGAGACTCTGTTCCATACTCCTCATTTTCCTCACAATCATTTCTTACTCAGGAGTTTCGGTGGTCTTTTCTTGCCCCACAGTGAACTCAAATTGGGGCAGCTGAGGGTAAGTATAAGTGGGAAACTGAGGAGGTTCCATTTGGAAGGTGGGTGTTTGGAAGGTAAAAGCTGAGGGGTCAAAACTGGGCCTAGGCAGTGTAGGTTATGTCGTGGCCGAGCATGGGGGAGCGGTGAAGATATTCGAAGTTGCACCAGACATTAATACCTGGGGGCGAACCTCAGGAGGTGTTCCTACAAAATGAGCTGAAATAGTTGGGTGTCCTAGTGGGGTATTTGGGTGACTGATCGGTATAGTGGAGGTACCGCTTGCTCTAGGAAAGAGTTCGGGGAATCCCGGAATGGCGCTTGGCGGTTCTCTTCCATTTTCCCAAGCGTCCCACATCTCCATAACCCGAAGACGCAGGATTCTGTTTTCTTCAGTGGTTGCCGATTCCGAGGTCGGGATGCCCGAGATTGGGCTATCATCCGTGATGGGTATTGTTGGCAGAGTCATTTCTGAAGACATTCCGATGCTCCCCTTTGATCTAGTAAAGTATGGGTGCGAAGCCAGATTACCACAAAAACCAACCACCATTCTATAAAAACCTAGACTGGGAGTAACAACAACAAACGGTTAGTTTGAAACAAATAACAGATAGGTAATCGCATGTTAGGGTGTGATGCACCTATATAGTTAAATGTGTTCTACATGTTTTGCAACAGTTGCATGCTTCATCACAACTTTACTTATTTTTTTTTATTTTATTTTTTCTTCTTTCCAATTCCACTCTCTCTCTTTTCATCTCTTTCCTCGCTTTCCTTTTCTCTTTTCCTTTGATTTTTCTTCTTTTCTTTCTTTTGGGTTTTTCTTTCGGATTTTTCTTTTCGCACCCTCTCTTATTGGAGTTATTAACAAAATCATGACAGAATCCGATGAGGATTGCCTACATATCCCGACGTCGCGTGAATCAGATCATTACGTAGTTCAAGGGCTGATAAAAATGTAAAAATAAATAACAAAATATTTTGGGATTTTTAATTTTTCATAAAAAGGAAATACTTTGGATTACAATGATTCAAAGCTAAAAGACTCAAAAAGGAAAACAACAGACTCCAATAACACGATGACAATACAGACTCACGAACTGACTTAACACACTCTGACAAAAAGAAAAATACATAATTGAAAATAAACTAACAGACTTCAACAGAAAAGAAAGATACAGACTCCAGTAAAATCAAGAATATATTAATGCTCCTGGTGTTTGCGGGACGTCATTCTATCTCACCGCGGCCCTAAATGTGAGATCCCCTTGCAGTCGCTCCAAATCACTCATAACTTGGCGGACGAAAGTCATTACTGCAGCGAAAAAGGTGGTACGAGTCATGTCCTCGCACGCTTGGCACTTCATGGTAATATAATCAGCGATGGTTCTGATTCTCTCTCTTATTCTGCCCTTTTCCTGAAGCAACCGCCTTATCTGCTGATTCCGGGCTTCTAATACTTCAGAGTCATGAAGGTGTTGATTTTGCAACTGCTGCATTCCTTCCTCCATTTGAGCCATCAGATCATAACAGTGCTCCCTATCGGCTTTGAAATCTTTAGCCTACTTGGCTGCCTCGTTCTCGAGAGTGGTTACCTTTCTTCTTAGGCTAGTGATAGTCCCTTCATAGTTCCTCTTCATTTGTTGCACAAACCGTGCCCGCTCTTCTGCCTTCTTTGTCCATTATGCCCGGATTTTTGCTAGACTAGCTTCAAATTTTTCCAGGTCTTCTTGACACTCGAGGGCTTTATTTTTCAGACTACTTATAAGTCTTTCATCAGCCCGGCTGATTTCCGGGTCTCTGGCAGCTATTTTCATCTTCCGGATCTGAGCTTTGAGGGCCTCATTTTCCTGACTTAGTTTTTTCTTTTCTCCCTCGTCTGCGGCGGCTTGAACACCATTTTCAAACTGAAGCTCCATGACTCGCCTTTCCAACTTGCTTATTTTGGCCCTGTACTCGTTTTCTTTGGTCAACCAGTCTCATTGTACCTGTGCCCCATTGGTGAACTGTTGGGCATGGAGTCTCTTTGCGGGCCTTTCAGGAATCTAGAATCTTTTGCCGAACCAGACAATGTACTTAGGGTCCACTTCACCTATGGCTAGATCTCGCACCATGGTCTTAGGTTCAAGAAATCTACATTCATTCCACACTTGGCGAATTTTCCCTTCTGGAAATGCGGCTTTGGGCAGAACAGTGTTGCACACCACTGCGGAGCTAGTAGGAGGGAAGGGGGTTCAATTGAATCCCCTCGGTCAAATATTTATATTGTGCAAGTAGGTATAAATGAATGTTTTTGGTTATATATATACTGTTGAATCCCCTTGATACAAGGATTATTCTAATGTGTCATAAATGGGTTCAAAAATTGCTTTTGGTAACAAGTTCAATTCTCACCCGTGACATTCTAGTATTTCTTTTAATCCTCTTATACAAATTCCTGGCTCCGTCACTGTGGACTACTTATTCTTGCATTAAGTTTCACCTTGTACTCTTTTTGTCTCCGTTCCCGAGATGTTATCGTCTTATTCTAATTACGCAGTGAGATGATATCAGTAACATTACAAAGTCTCTCGTGATCGTATGTGAAACACAGCCTTTTATGTGTGCAGAGCTTTTGTATATTTCTATTTTTTAATATGAGATAATGGACTTGCTAGATGATACATTCAGGATGTTTAGAAAGACATCTCTAGGGAAACATTACCATTATGATCTCTACTGGGGAAAATAGAACCATCTGAGAAAATAAGTATTGTTGGGCAAAAATCCATCCTAATTGAAGCACTAAGAATATATGAATCCTGTAAATACATTTGGTGCCCTTAAAGGTGCGAAATTTGGGAAATGGCTTAATCTTCTATATTCCCCTTGCAAAGTAGAAGAGATTCAGATAAAGTTCGAGCTCTGTGTCAGGATATCAGCGAGTGCTGGGTCAAATGAAAATGGGGTGGAGGGAGCAAATAGTTTCCGCACGTGGTGGCTTAGGATACAAAAGGACCCTCTTTACCTTTTGTTTTCTTTTGGTCTTTATTCTCCTGCACACCTCGAAGCTTGGATCCAACCAGAAAATTTCCTTTTATGAAAGTTAGTAGTAAACTTAGCTTAAAAGCATAATGTGAAGTTGGTTGGGACAAGACACACCTCCTACTTTTTTTTTTTGATATTGTGGAAGCTATTAACGATCAAAATGGGGTGGGCGTGGGCGTTGGGAAGCTAATTGGATTCCAGTAAATACATGAATATAGAGTTGAGACTTAAATTAAGATGCCCAAAAATAAGAGTTTTCTACAATATAAAATTATAATTATAGTACTGAAATTATAGGTTTACATTTTGGCTGTTTATTCACAATTAGTAACAGTTTAGCTAAGTGCCTACTCTGATCTTAGCTACCCTTTGACTGTAAACTTAATTATGATAAATTTGTGGCTTTGTAGAGCCTTCCGCATTATATTTTTACCGGCCTTTTGTTAATCATTGGCAGCAACATTGATAACCTTTCACACTTGAATAGGTTATTCATGTGGAGGGGCTTTCTGCTTGCTTGTTCATATTCCACATGAAATGTCTGCATTCCTTCTTTTTTTCCTTTAATGTTAAAAATCAATTCATGCTGCAGTAAGATAGTGGCAAAAATTTACAGTGCGTAATGTTTAAGCTTCCAGAGGAATACATCCAACTATTTACACAAAAAGGAATGTATACAATCCTTACAAGCACACTTCTTCACTTTATCCTAGGGAGAAGGTCATAGATTGAAATTCTGAACCTTTATCTGATAAACTGGAGCCTTGTCAATTCGACTACCTCATTGACCTCTTTCTTAGTGTTTTTTTTTTTTTGCATAGTTTTGCATGCCAGCTTGGCGCACTTGTTTATATTCATATTTATACACGTGCCAAAATGCATGTTCATGTTGTGAGGCGCGTTTGAAAAGGCACACCGAGAGAGTGTGTATGAGTATAAGTGTTACATAGTTCAGATTTTATCACATTTTGTTATGCTGATAGGATATGCTTGATCATGCAGGTTTCCCCTCATAAGAGAGGCATAAGAAATGGACCAAAGGCTCTAAAACCAGCGCCAGTGATTATGCGGTGCAAGTAAGAGCTTTATGCCAACAAAATAAACAAGTTAAATTTTATGCTTCTTCCCATAAATTAATCTCAATTTGAAATGTATTCAAGCATGAATACCGAAAGGCTGTTAATAACTAGTAACAAAACCCTGAATTTTCTATTTAGCTTGTTAATAACGAAAGGTTGGATATATAGAAAATTGTATGTCTTTCCTAGTGCTTCTGAAGTACTGTTATTTTTCCTATCATCAAACCAGAGACCAAAGCAAGGCTCGGCAAAACAAAAAGTAATGCACATCGGCTTTCCCTATCATGGAACTTTCATGCTGGAACAAGAACTAGCATAAAAGGCGATCTGTGTCTCAAGGGTAGTTTTGATAGGCGGAAAGCCCCTCGGAAATGGGACAACGAAAAAGCAAAAGTGTACTTAGGCTACCCGCTACCGATGAATTGAAAGAAGGCCTATATGAAGGAAAAGGAGTGTTTTTCTTTCATCACATATCCCATTATTGAGCTTGCATTGGCTATCCAATGGAGTGTGTCTTTGAGAATTTACCTGACTTTTTTTATCTTAGCTCAGGAGTCAGACTAAAGCCTTGTGCTTCTTAAACTTTTTTTCCCAAATCGATAGAGTTTACTCTCTAGAATGCCGCCGTACCCGTGTCGGATCCTCCAAATATACATTACTTTTGGAGGATCCAACACGCATCCGGCGACATTTTGGAGAGGCAGATCAACATGGGTTTTAAGTATGATTTGTTGCAAGGTAATATCTTGCTTGAATGATTGTTTAGACAATAAGATTAAGAATGTTTACGCGTACCAAAAATCCTGTAGGAAATTAAAATTTTAACTGATGATAATTGAAAGACATGCATGATTTTGTGATTCGGGTGTGAGTTTTTATCGCCACCATGATGTTTATCTTGTGTCCTCAGTAAGGAAGTCGATTGCTTCATGTCATGTTTCATTTTCTTGTCTAATGCAATGACTTTTTGTTGTGCTTGCAATTCGGCTTTTCTTTGTTGGTCTCCATCTAGGCCTACACTATCCAATGCTAATACTCTTGATGTTCCTCTTCTTGGAAATAAACTTACAGGGTCTGTGGTCGAGTCAAATTACCACATTTCTTCTGCTGCAGTGGAATTAAGCCTGGTGATGAGAGTAGTTCCAACAGTTGATCAACTTGAAGTGGAGCATCCAACATAATTTCTTCAATTTCAACTTTGTCGTTCCTTCTTGTTTAACAGAGAGAAGGCTGCACAATAGCATAGGCCTCGTGCTGAAGAACCTGTTTTGCATGTTTTAAGTAGCACTGTATTAGTTGTATTTCTTCCAAGTCTTCCCTTTGATTGAGACGACTAGTTCTTGAAAATCACAAAGCATAAGAATTCGGAGATTAGAGCACATAGTAGTGCAAGTCATTGCAAATTATAGAACAAAAATTCTCGATGCCCCCGAGGGAAGAAACAAGAACTTATATCAAGATCAGTCTATTCTCTGTGACTGTCAGAACTGTTCATGTACTTCCTGAAGTTGCACCTTATGCTAGCTGAGTATGAGAGGTTTTTATTTGTAACATGCTCCTACTTTAGTTTCTCCATTTACAGGTTAAGTTGTACCAAAGAGCAGAGTTCTTTTGTTGAAAATTTATTCTTCCCTCCCTCTATGGTATTGGTAGCTGGTATGTGTTAGAAACGATTAGTCTAGTTGAAGCTGCTAAACTGTGTTTATGCAATTGAAGGGTTGGATTTCTTTCCCATGCAAGACATCTCAAGAATCATTTTTTGAAATATTTTTGAATTTGATGTTGAATCGTGATTTGAATTTGTTTTACCTATATCGAAAACCTGGAAAGTGGTGGTGTTAAATGGTTTGGTTCGAAGGGGCGTAGTTGAACGAGGAAAGATATCATAGCCCATAGGAGCTGTTGGATGATAAACAATTAAGCATACTAACGTGTAGACATACTTGCATAGAATATGGAGACCAATTAATTAGAAACGTAGAAACAGGAATTTCCTTGTAAGGTTGCTTATTGACTTGCATTAAATTTTGACATCTATCTAATTTGATAATTAACCAAGCATGGCTTGGCTTTTACACATCACAATTATCCAAAACAAGAATTATATCTTATGTAATGCCCTCAATTTTAATGATTCTTTTATAGTGTTGCTTACTTGTACAATGTGTTATGACTCGACACAATGGGATAATCATGTCATAATTAATTACTCAAAATGACTTGTACATTGTTTTCATTAACAAGGATATTGAGGATACATATGTACAAGTCATTTTGAGTAATTATAGCCTATCATCAACTAGTTATAATATACTCGTAATATTGTATAAAGAGGAATAACAACAACAACAACAACAACAACCCAGTGTAATAAAATTTTGATATTACAAAATATTTTGATATCCTTGCAACAATTTTGCTATTTTAGTTACCTATTTCTAATCAATATGATCATTAAGAAATTTCATCAAAATTAATTTGTATTACAAAATAAGAAGAAAAAGGTGGTTAAAAATTGGTTTAAACGAAATAAAAAGAACAAATATTGCGAATGGACTTGGAAAAAGAAAAAGTTCGAGTGGAGACTTTTTTTATTTTCAACACCACGTTGCCTTTTTTTATGCTCGGAAGTTTTCCCTTCATTTTATGTGGGAAAAAAAAAGTTAGTCCAAAATATTAGGCCTGCTAACCAAAACTTGTAGGAATCGCGAAAATAGAATAAACTTAAAATAATTCCAAGTAATTATTAAAAACTTATTCTAGCTAGTAAATTCCAATGAATTTACTATAAACGTCTAAATTATTTAAGTTTATTACTCTTATGTCTTTTGAAGATCTTCAAATTGTACTTACATAAGGAAAAAAATCATATTTTTCTATGAGTACTTGATATTAAGTTCCTAAATAGTAGGTGTTCTTACATAATTCAAATAAGGAAAAGTTTAATACTTTAAATTTATTAACTTAAAAGTTTCAAATATTAAAAAAATGAAATGACAATTTTATTCAGTGTGAATTCTATTTTTAAAGGGGTAAAAAAGACGAACGATATTTTGCTAAGGGGCTTCGTACTTTTAATATTATATATATATATATATATATATATATATATATATTTTTTCTAAAGTTTAAAATTTTTTGTCAATCCCTTAATTACATATTCCTAGCTCTACTCAGCTTCCCTCTCAAATAAAATCTCAAAATATCGCTGGTTTCCTACCTCTAGGTCCTCTACTCAGTTTCCCTCTCGAAGAAAATCTCAAAATATCGCTGGTTTCCTAGCTCTACTCAGCTTAAAGAAATCAATGGAGCTCCCAAAGAAATCAATGAAGAAGATTGAAGGTGGTAGCCCTAGTTCTAATGTTACATTCACTACTCCCGAAACCACTCTTTCTATGCCTATATTTACTCCTAGCCCGGAAGTACAATCTGGGATAATAATTTTCTCTACTCTATCTTTTTAATTTTCTCCCATTTTGGATGTTAATTAAAACGAAAAGGCTGCTAGATTTGGAGGCCAGAATGGTACAAGTATTGGAAAAGTTTATAGACTTGGAAAAACGAGGGGAATAAATTTTAACTTCTGACCGCAATTTTGTATTGTGGTATGATTTTATATACTTTTTATTTATCTTTAATTTTGTGATTTAATTCTTTATATTAATTATTGTAAGGTAATGAAGTGTTTCTTGGCGATCTTGTTGTTCCTAATATTTCTTGTTTTGATCATAGGACTTTCTTCAAAAAAGAAGGCAGGTTCAAGAGATGGAGCTCCTCCTCTAGCTACGTAGGGGGGCGGTCAACTTGATGCGGGAGAGGCATGAGTGCAGTTCGATTTTGTGGTGTATTCGTTTGTAGTGAGTAGGGCCTCTTTCTCGTTGATCAGTTCGCCTCCGCTTACGGCAGTTTTGTCAACGAACGCGTCTCGGGCCGGATTGACTAACCTAACCCACCCTTAAGGAGGCTTTTCCATAGTCAATGAATCTGTAGTTTTTTGTTTCAGCATAGATGCTACTTGATAGTTTGTAAAGAATGTATAATGCTTCATTTTAACTTTTTTCAGATGTATGGATGCTTTCTCTGATGGAGTGATATTCAATTTTCTTAATGGATTTATGTGCACTAAAATTTTAGATCACTTTTTTTGAGATATTGATGAGAAGAAATGTCTGAATCACCATAAAATGATCAGTGACATGCTAGTTAGGTGCAGAATTGTTCACATGCTGGTATTCTTTCCAGTAATTTTCATAACTACTAAGGTTTTATGTTGGTTTGAGTGCCAATGGTGCTATAATTCATTACAAGCCAGAGCCAGATAGTTGTAGCGTTGTGGATGGGAAGGAACTCTTCCTCTTAGACAGTGGAGGCCAATATATTGATGGAACGACTGACATTACTAGGACAGTGCATTTCGGTGAACCATCTGCAAGAGAGAGAGAATGTTTCACCCGAGTACTACAGGTAAACTATACCTTTCTGTCAGCAATGGTACATATGTTATACTTACGACAGGAATATGGTAGAGTTTTTCTGGAATAGGATTATTCTTCAATTTAAATCCTTACTAATAGGAAATGTAAGGTTGTTCAATGCTGATCGGAGGACTTACATTTCAAGCATCTAATTATAAAGAAAATAAAGGGAATGAGAACCTAAATTGGAGCTGCCTAATGCTTTCTCCTTTTTTTCCTTTCTAAATTGGTAAGCAGTATTGATGTCAAAAGCAGCACCAAGAAAATGTTGTGGTTACATCCCAAAAGTTGGAAGATGGGAGCAAGAAAAAAGAACCTAACAGCCTAATGCTTTCTCTCTGGGGGTGCAGCGTCTCCCTCTTAAGCCCTAACTTTGTTCTATTTACAGATATTGCGTAAGGACATTTTTGTAAACCAGAAAATTTTCAGCTGATGCGTAGGTGCCATAGTTGTAATTTTTTGCTGAAAAATCTCCTCTGATGGACACCAACACGGGCTTCCTTCAGCTTTGCTCATGTTTGAGTATTTTGACCATGTCTTCCGGCCGGAGTGTCCAAATGGTGAACCGTGTCATTTCTTGGAAACTAGACTTCATGAGCTATGATATAACCAATTTTCACGCTCAACTCTTTATGGATAATTTCCAGCATATCCGTGAAATAGAATTAAAATCCATCTTGTTTATAGCATATTTCACAGAAGCTCTTTTCTTCCCTCATTGGCAGATTTAACAAAATAAAGGTTTCATAAGCAAAGATTGTTGTGGAATCAAGTTGGTTACCATTTCAAAAAAAGATACAGTAGTTTCTGATTCCCCCGAACTTAAGGTTCAATTATGAGTAACCGATCAACTAATGTAGTGAAACAGTGAAAGGAACCTATAAAGTACCTCAAAATCTTAGGTAACTTAAGTAATTGATTTTGTCCATATAAAATCAACTCATTACATTACTTTCAAGTCTCCATTTCAAATGTTACCCTTTGAAGCACATGCCTTGAGGTTGTATTCTTGGTATTCTTTGGTAGCCCATTTCGCTGCATTGCTAGATAAGAGCTTCTATAATTGTTTAGATGGGTTGTAGTTGATTAAAATATTTTCAGGGTCACATAGCACTTGACCAAGCAGTTTTCCCTGAGAATACCCCTGGTTTCGTGTTGGATGCATTTGCACGGTCTTCCCTATGGAAGGTTGGCCTTGATTACCGGCATGGTAAGCGTGCTCAAGTTCTGTGTTCTTATGGTATTAGGAGGTTTTAGTAACTTGGAGTATTTCCTTCACACGTGCTCGTTATTTCCTCTAGGAACTGGGCATGGTGTAGGAGCTGCACTAAATGTTCATGAAGGCCCACATAGCATTAGTTTCCGCTTTGGAAATATGACTCCCTTATTGAGAGGAATGATTGTCAGCAATGAACCCGGTTACTATGAAGACCATCAATTTGGCATTCGAATTGAGGTACTTTCCCCATTTCTCCATATTCCGTACCTATAAAGAATAGAAAGCTATTTTCTTTTTGTTTTTACAATCATGAGTATCTCTAGTATGTTTTAATTTTTTTTACTAATTTGACTCGATAAATGGGTTCCTAGTGAAGCTTCTCTTCCTTTTCCCTTAGGGGAAGTTCTCTATTCACCTTCTAGTAGATCAGCTGCTAAATTTTGATGTTAAAACCTCCATAGGTATATAAGTTAAAGCATATGAGTGAGTACACTTCCTTATTTTCTGTCACGACCCATTTTCTAAACAAGCCGGGACTGGCACTCGATCACTAAACCTGACCGAGCGAATCATCTCTGCTGATCAAATCTATTATAACTTCAAACTTTATATGCAACAAGTTAATACTCCAACCAAATACTTTTGATTAATGTAAATATTTAAATAAATCAAATCCAAAACTTTATACGTACTAACTACCAAATTTATGCTAAATTATTATAAATAAAAAAAAACATCTAAATCTTAACCCATTGACTATGTCTATGAAGCCTCTACTGATAAACTGACGCACTGCTCAGGACATGAGATTTCCTGGCCAGGTCTCTAAATAAACAAAGAAATAGCTAAATAAAAATGACTCTAAGAATACTCCACGAACAAAAGCGGAGCTCACCAATATCATTGGAAGGGAAGGAAATCCTAACTCGTAACCTGCTCGCCTGCAAATCCAGTTCCTACGTTGTACCGCAGACCAACGTAGGTTCCCCAAAGAGAACGTCAGTACCATCCACTGTACTCAGTGAGTCTCAACAACAGGGGGAGAAACTTTAATAACATNTCATCCACTATACTCAGTGAGTCTCAACAACAGGGGGAGAAACTTTAATAACATATACGTTACAAGCAAAGGTTCTAAATGCATGTAAAACATAAAGCTTATAAGAATAATTCTAAAATAATTGCATAATAGCAATTTATGAATATTCTAAAAAAAATTCTTNAAATAATAATAATTTAATTCTATAATTAGTGTATCTTGAAACTATTATAAATTTGAGGAGTGTTACATTTTCTGTTGGAACCTGAAAAAGTATTTGAGGAACTTTAGAGCTCATAGGTTGCTAAAATTTCCGGTCAAGTTTCTTATTAAAGCTGAAGAAGGAAGTTCGTTAAATTCTGATGTTATAATCTCCATCTTGGTAAAAGCGGAATATGACACAGAAAAAAACGTGATTTTTCCTGTAAAAACTTGAAGTGTATAAGCAGCATGTTGAGCTTCTTTTCTGCATGAACTCTCACTTGATTTGATCAGTTAGGATGGTATGCTGTTCTTTGATGCTCTATTGGCATCAGTGTACTATTCTCTTTGGCTCACAATGTAATCATGTTTATCCTTTCCATACCTAATTTCTTTACCTTAATGCAGGTTATGTCATAAAAGGTTCCTCTGGTTTTTATTATGTAGTCTGATTTTTACTCTTTCTTGTTATCCAGAATCTTCTTTCCGTCAAAGAGGATAGTTTGATGACAGCCATGTGGTGGCGGTCCTTCATCTCAAATGATGTGATGGTAACATGCGTCGTGCCGCGACGTTAAATCAGGCGCTTTTTGGGAGGCAACCCATGTGTTTTTCTTCTTGTTTTCTTTGATTTTATTTGTAGAATAGGATTGATTTTGGAATAACTGTTTTTGAGATGTTACAGAGTTGTATTGATGCAGTGCAGGACATAGTGGAAAAAAGTGNCAAAAATCTTTTCTTTCTAAAACTTATTCTTGTGACTTTTCAAGTCTAAATCTTTTCTTTATAGAACATTATGTACATGCTCATATTGGTGTCCTTAANATTTTATTTGTAGAATAGGATTGATTTTGGAATAACTGTTTTTGAGATGTTACAGAGTTGTATTGATGCAGTGCAGGACATAGTGGAAAAAAGTGCTAGGTCTCTAAAGTTGCCAGTGTGGCCGTACTACATTCTGTGTGGACCGCACTGGTGAAGGGTGAATTGTGACCTCTCTGAAGTTTGCCACTGCGGTCGCACTACATTTTGTGCGGTCCGTAGTGGACCAGTGCGGCCGCAGTCCATTTTGTGCGGACCGCAGTGGGTTACTTGGTCAAGCTTGAAAATAGAAGTGTAGTGCGGACCGCACTGGTTGGTGAGACTGGGCCCCAGGTCCTTTTCTATAAATAGGGCCTGAGGCCCTCTTTTTACTCTTTTTGCACTTTTGAATCTCAGAGCCTAAAACACTGTTCATCTTCCTATCTACTCGTAACTAACAGCTTAGTACCATCATTCCTCATTTCATCTCATAGATGGTAACATCACACTCCTTTTTACAACGTAGAGGCCGAAATGCCAATGCTAATCCTAATGGAGAAATTCCAGACCTTCCTTCGCCACCTCCAAGAGTGGCTCCAAGAGTGCTTTCGAATCAAGGTTATGCAAGTGCTATTGTCCCACCCCGAATCCGAGCGGGCAATTTTCAAATAACCAATGTGATGTTGATCTTGCTCGAGCAACGTGGGCATTTCACGGGCACCGCAAATCAAAATGCTTACAAGCATCTCAAGGGGTTCGTGGATACATGTTGGGGGAGCAAGCAAACCAATGTGTCCGATGATTCTCTCCGGTTGAGGCTTTTCCCATTTTCACTTAGAGGGAAGGCGTTGGATTGGCTCGAGCGACTCCCCAACCATTCTATCACTACTTGGGATGAGTTGGCGAACAAGTTCATTGCAAAATGTTTCTCACCGGGATATATGGCGGCATTGAGGGACGAGATATTGGATTTCAAGCAAGAGCCCACGGAACCTCTGCATGAAATTTGGGAGCGGTATAGAGCAATGGTGAAAGAATGCCCCAACGATGATATGACCGAGGCGATTATCCAACAAACTTTCTACCGGGGCATCAACACCATAAATCAATGCATTGTGAACCAATTAGCAGGGGGCAATTTTATGAAGTTGCCATATAGTGAGGCATGTGACATTCTTGACGAGATGGCTGACACTTCTTTGGTTTGGCAAACTAGAGCCAATGTGCCTCAAGGTGACCCCACGGTCATTCATTTGCACAAGGAATTGCATGATCATGGTCAAGCTATAGCTGAGATTACAACTACTATGAACCAATTGGCAAAGGCACAGTTACAACAAGTTCAAAACCCTCGCCAAGTTAATGCTATGGAAGGTGTCAATATGCTTGTTAACAAAAGAAGGCAACGAGGACAACAAAACCAAGGGAATTCTGAGCAATTTGACAATGATTGTGGTGGATTTTAAAGTGATTGTTATGATGAGCAAAACAAAGAGGTTCAATATGTGAATAACTATCAAGGCCAAATGGGCAACTCTTTACACAAACAACAATGGCGACCCCAAGGCAATTGGGGCAATCAACAACAAAGAAATGGTAATTGAAGGAACAACAACCAAAACAACAACTAGGGCAATCAGAACAACAACCAGGGCAACCAAGGCAATTGGAATGGTAATAAAAACAATTGGGGTGGCAACAATAAGGCAGGTGGAACAATGAAAACCATGGAAACCGGGGGCAAGGCTTTCAAAGGCCCCCAATGTACCAATAACCGAACAATCAGCCTCCATTTCCATCTCAAGGTTCTAGTTCTTCAGGCAATGATATGGGTAGAATCGAAATGATGTTCGAACAAATGATGAAGAAGAACCAAAATTTCGATGCTCAGTTGGCTTTCTATAATACCTCTATCTGAAACTTGGAGGTGCAATTAGGCCAAATCTCTCAGTCTTTAAACACTCGCCCTAAGGGTGCTCTACCAAGTGATACGATAGTGAACCTGAAGGGTGGGAACAACCATGTCATGGCAGTAACAACAAGAAGTAGGAGAGGAGGTGATGTGAATGCCTCAAAACAAAAGCAAGTTTTGGATGAAGATGTTGAGTTGCAAGACGATGTAGTACCTTTGGCATTCTGAAGATGTGATTGATGACAATGTGACCAATGAAGTGAGGATTAACATTAATGAGGCCGAGGTGGAAACTCAAGATACCGTGAACCCGTTTAGGGAATACGTGATTGACATGCCCGAGCAGGTTGTGCCCAAAGCCAAGGCACCTTTGCCTAGGCCACCTCCACCTTATCCTTAAGGGCTAGCAAAGCAAAAAAGTGAAAACCAGTTCAAAAAGTTCATTGACATGATGAAAAGCCTTTCTATCAACATGCCTTTGGTGGAGGCACTTGAACAAATGCCGGGATATGCCAAGTTTATAAAGGATTTGGTGATGAAGAAGCAGTCTATGGATTGTGAAACATTGAAAATGACTCACCAGGTCAGTGCTATCGTACATTCAATGGCCCCGAAACTTGAGGAACCTGGAGCTTTTACCATCCCTTGCACTATTGAGAGTGCGGATTTTGCCAAGGCCCTATGTGATTTGGGGGCTAGTATTAATTTGATACCTTATTCTGTCTTCAAGACTTTGGGAATTGGGCAACCTAGGCCAACCTCCATGAGACTACAAATGGCGGATCGATCGATGAAGCGACCTTTGGGCATCATTGATGATGTGCTTGTCCGGGTGGACAAATTCATATTGCCGGCTGACTTTGTCATTTTGGACTGTGAAATGGATTATGAAGTCCCAATCATTCTAGGGAGGCCTTTCCTTGCAATGGGGAAGGCATTGGTTGATGCTGAAGCGGGTGAGCTCACTTTCTGAGTGGGAGATGAAAAGGTCGTCTTTCATGTTTGCAAATCTATGAAGCAACCAAATAGCACCAAGGTGTGCTCGTTTGTAGACCTTGTCACAGCTGTGATGTGGATAACACCAGTGATATGATCAATGTGGAGGATCACCTTGAGGCCGTTCTATTAAATCTTGATGTTAATGATGATACAAGCAGAGTGGAGTGCGTGAATACCCTACATGGGATGGTCTCTTATTCTTATGAGCCGAGAAAACTGTCTTTAGATCTTGAAAACCGGAAAACTCCACCAACAAAACCATCAATTGAGTAGCCTCCGGTGTTGGAGTTGAAACCACTGCCTCCACACCTCAGGTATGAGTTCTTAGGCTCAAAT